GCCTTTTAGCAAGTACCTTAGCTGTAAGTATGGTAAGTTACAATGTCAATGTTATGATTCTCGGTTCACTTCCTACATCGACACCATTATCGTCGTGATGGTTAACTCAAAAAAATGGGCAGATGAGGAAAGTATGCTGGGCACGGTCCTCCAAAGAGGCCACTGTTCTAGATCAAAACGGAGGTTATACTGAAACACAGCACGTCGGAGTTAGGATCCGTAACTAGTGCCTTATTTGTGCGACAAGCCTCTGGTGCCGGCTTTACTTTAAATTAATAATATTGTCAATAGTATTATTGTCAAGTTTAAATAAATTGGAGACGACAGAACACGATGAAAAGGGAATCTAATTCACACCCTCACTCGGTAATGACGATCTACACATCAAGAGCTGTGCTCAACTCTCCATTCTCCGAAAATCGGTATTCGAAATAATTACTCGAAACACTAGAACAAAAATATGCGCCTCCATATGAACACCCCCCCCCTTTTTCCTTTACGCTACGGCAGAAACTGTGTTCAATTCATTTGACCCACTTGTGAAAAACTCGGCAGCCTCGGTGGAATTTGAACCCACGCTAGCAAAGGGCAGGCTTTAGTACAGTTAACACTCTAGCCAACTGAGCTACGAAGTTCTCGCAAGGAGTCGTGAGTTTGATCACATTTGGATCAAGTTCCCCGCCCAGTCTATGACAACGTATGGTGTTGGTTTTACTAAAGCCTTCCCCTTGTTGGGTTCGAATTCAACTGAGGCCGCAGAGTTTTTCACAACTGGGCCAAATGACATTAAAATTTGCCGAAACATCCGCCTAATTGTGTCCAACCTCGTTCCCAGTCGACCGATGGGTTCGGACACGCCACCGACTCAAAACAGTTCGCAAAATAGTTCATCCACTATAATCAATCTGACGCATGCAAAAATAACCAATTCGTGGTATTAAGGCTGGCAGCTAACGGGCTACATGATTCCCTTAGACAAGGATTTGGACTGCAACAGATTTTTTAGGCGACCGTTATATCAACTTTTCGATGATAGATCTGAAACCCGCTTTTTGAATACATTGTGTGCAAAGTTAGAGATTAAAATATCCGCCACAGGCGTAGACGTGACTATTGGCTTCGCCTTCATCTCAGAAGAAACGATGGAGCTCGTCGCTTGATATAGACAATTATTAGAGTCTCCGGCGTCTATAAATGGAACGCCTACAGAGCAGGGACTATCAAATGTTTAATTTTCCATCACACTGGTAAGCAAGGCTGTGCATACTGGAGCTGACTAGGTCAACCCCAATGGTGGCGTATACGCATGGTAGAAACAGTAGAAACAAGAGGACTGGCACAGCTGTGAAAAAATTCTGTTGGTCGCAGTACAAGGTACCAAGCCAAAACAACTGACTCGTATTATGCGAACAGTTCCCCCCTTTAACAAATAACTGGCATTTATATGTAACGGAAGGATAATATATTGTGCTTACCGTGTTAGAACCGCGAGCCTTTCTGCGTTTCTCTGTAATGGAGTAATTCGACTGCGGAGGAGCATTAAGGCTGCCATTGCATCATCGGCCTCAGCCAACTCAAGAAACTGCTGTTCCAGCAGAAGGAAATGG